TGTATTATTTCTTTGCTTAACATTGATAATATAAGGATGTGATCTTTTAATAAAAATATTAATGATTATTAATAACATCGATTATCTATATTAAATAACATTTTAGTGCATATATAAATTAAATAATTATTCTAATGTTTATATAAACTAATTATTAAAATATTAAATCAATATTATTCATTAAAAAAATCATAAAATAAAAAATATTATTACATTATAATATGAATGATTATTCTAATATATGAGTTAATTAATTTTGTTTCATTAAAAAATAATCATAAAAAAATATTGATTATATTATAATATGAATTATCATTACAATTTTCAATCAAATCAAAACCAATCAGATCAGATCAGATCCAATCAGATCAGATCAGATCCAATTAGATCAGATCAGACCTAATCAGATCAGATCAGACCTAATCAGATCAGATCCAATCAGATCAGATCAAAAAAAATAAGTTGAACGGAACGGAGCCTAAATTAGACACTATTTTCAATTAGCGAGTACCATCTCATTAATTAGTTCATCTTGGGGACTTATATAAAAAACGCATAGTTATTGAGCAACATTTTGGGAATTTGCTCTATTATAAAAAACTATTTTGGAAATTCACTCTAATAATTACACACACTCATATAACGTATACTTAACTGATAATAATTATCTTCTTTTTACACGGAGTGTGTAAACAATTTTTATTAATATAGATTAATTATTTTTTTGAACTAACTTTTATGGTAGTCAAAGAGACTTTGGTTTGTAGAAGGATAGACGTGTCTTCTCAATAGAATAAAAAAAAGTGGGATGAATATAGTGTTTAAGTGTGGTGTGGCTCTCCCCCACCCAAATACTATTGACAAACCACTGGCACTGCCTTTTCATCCACTCACAAGTGACATTTTTACAAGTAGAAATGGAATGCAATCCCAAAATTAACCTCAGACACCTAAAAGATATGGTCATGGCCCTCAACATTGGTTTTGTCTATTAACTTTCACTGTGTCAATTCCAAGCATCTAAGAAACCACTTACCTTGTCCACTTCCACACGATGACAAGGATGACGACCGACACGACCATGCCGGTATACTTGATCCACTTGTCGACACGGTTTCTCCTCTCGATCAGCCTCAATACAGAATTAGACAGTCCCATTGTATTGAGCACATCCAGAGCTTTCCGTTGAGCGTGCTGACATGTTGTAAAGGCATAAATTATTCACAGTTTGAAACAGGCAAAACAATGGACAATAGTCATGTTGTACTGCACTCGTATCTTTCACCCATTAAAAAAAAGAGGTCAGCTTAAATAAAGAGAAGTCCATAGACATAGCCAAACAAACCTTCATTGTTCCCTAATTTTGTCAAAAATATATCTCTTTTAAGAAAGAGTCAGGACACGGAAGCATGCATTAATATTCCTTGAAGCAGCATGGGAATTTAAAACATGCACAATCAATGCTGCAAATAAGGCAGTGTTTCTTTCCAGGTAAATATTTTCTGAGTTTTTGTGTTTGGCACCACAAAACTTTTTTCCTGGAGAAACATCTTTTGATTGTTTCAAATTTTGTGGAAAAAATGACTTCCACTTTACGAAAGATAGTCATTTTTCTTGAAGGAAATTCATTTTTTCATGTTTTTGTTGTCTGCTGTACTAGGCATTAAACAAATGAAATTTCAGGAAAACAATTCCGAGGCCTTTATTTCCTGGAATCACATAGAGCCCGGAAGTCTAAATCTAGTTCATGATAATCTCCATTTTATTGAAAAAATTCATTGCAAATTAACAAAAAACACAGGGAGCTGAGCTATTTCACTGGACCCAACAGAAAAATTATATTTTTAGACGCACAATTTCACATGAATTTCATAAGAGTATTACAATCTAAGTTTATGATGAAAGCAGACAATGAGTATCTGAGAATGCATACACCTAAGAAACCAACCAGCCATACACGAAGCACATGAAACTAGTTCATTTAACCTCATCATGACTACATGTTGGCAGTGTTTGTGTGTTGGGGTGGGGTCAAGATAGATCTAAATACCTTTAATCGGTCCCTTTGCTCACTGTATTTAGAGAGAATAGCAGCACCAGTTGCAAAGGTTTCTTCCATCATCTTTGAAGATCTACGGATAGACTGCATTGCTTGTGCTTCCTCATCAAAAATCCGAAGAATATGAGATGAACTTCCATTCTAGAATATAAAAGCAAACAAATGAGACTATGAAAGAGAATAAATCAGAAAATCAATGATTCTCTAATCGGAAACAAAAGAAGAATTACATACAGCTCTTCCTAGTAACTCAGCTCTCTCTTGAGCTTCTTGTATTCGTTTTCTATCACGAAGATCGTATTTATTCAAACAGTCTTTCAGAGAATCAGCCTCTTCAGCCACTTGTTCCACCTTTCTGCATAACCATAAGTTTCTAGCTTCAGCAAAATATGAAAAATAACTAACTTGCATCGTCTTTGCGGGAGCGCCGGGAGGGGGGGTGAAGGGAGTCTTAGAAAGCAAGAGAATGGATCGCCTACACAAGGGTACAGTTTCCCCTTCAAATGTTTCCATCAAAATACTCATGAAACAGCATATAGAATGGAAGGGAAATGCAGAAATTATTTGACATGAAAGCAAAAAGAAATGTATGATAGAAGAGCTTAATTCAGCGAGAATTGCTCAGGTGGTCTAGAGCAACTCTGTAATCTCTATTTTTTGTATGCATGTCAATAAATGATGCTGCTAAAACTAAAATATGAGCATAACCATGATTGTTCAATTGCCAATTGATAATCACTAAATGTTTCGCTTGATACAACAACAACACTACCCCAGTGCCTGACCGGCTATCGCCCATTGCGGGGTAAGGGGAGTCGGATGTACGCAGTCTCAACCCTATGTTTAAAACATAGAGCGGCTATTTCCAGATGACCAATGATGAACGTCGAAAGTTGCATTGAACAACTGCTACTTCACGATTACAAGAAGTAGCAGACAGTTTAGAGAGCCAATTTTGCTTGATATTATAATAAAAAAAACAGCAAATGGAAGAAATGGAGAAGTCAGTCGCACATTTTCACCCTATTAAAAGGAGGCAAGATGGTCATCTCTCTCTCCCCCATATACAGGTGCTAGGCATTTCAAGAATCAAGAGGGATCAAAACTTAGACTGAAGTAGCAAACTCAGGCGAAATAACTGAAAACTATAAGTATTACCTGCACTTGCTTGGTTGGATTTTCAAATGGATTCTTTTAGAAAGTAAATAATGAAAAAACCTAAGCTGAATGCCTTAGCCAAACTGAAGAACACTCCACATCCTCTTTCCTTATAATATTAAGAAATGATATTTTCAATAATGCTTCTAGTTTACATTATCATTCGGTACCAAACGCTTAATCATCTTGTTATATTTTCCTTTGATTTAGCAGCACTGCTACAATGAGGAATTTGCACCGTCCATTACCAACCCCTTTATCTTGATTATGTATCTGAAAAGTTGTACTCTAATTAACTAATTTCTGTTTTCTAAAAACAGTGATCTAGGTTCCGTGATCAATCAAGCAATCCCATGAATGAGAAGATTCAAAATACTGCATCCGTCTAGAATGAAGAAATACCACTCCTATGAAGAAAATGAACTGCAATTTAGCACGCAAATACAGAATAAGATATTCCAATAGACCTTTTCCAGAGATCGCGTTGAGATTTGGCGGGAATGGAACGCCAAAGGCTGTCCATCTCCGAACATAGCAACTGGATCTGAGTGATGTCCTTCCTGACAGAATCGAACAGATGACTGGGAGATTCTACGCCCGAGGACGAGGCGATCGATGAAGACGTGAATAAGGCCGAGGAAGACGCATATTGTGAGCGCTCCAGTTTCTCCAATCCATCTCTGGTCTTCAGCAATAGCCGCCTTGAGTTCTGGTACAGTCCGGACAGGGTCCCACCTCCGCCGCTTGCGGCTGAATCGCCGAAGTCGACGGGCATCGCCATAGTTGTTGGTTTAACTGGTTTCGTTGCCGTCGATCTATCAGCCGCGGAGTTCTCCCGCTGTTTGGTGCTGCTAATTCTGTTCTTACGAGCACTGGTAATAAATTTGAACAGGCTTCAAACTTACACCCAAAATTCACTGTAAATGGGTTTGAAACCCCGGGTTTCATACTGGGGCTTCAAACCTTCATTTTTAACATTTTTAAATATACATCTTCTAAAATTAAATTAATAAAATGTAATTAATTTATTATTTAATTAAATTGAAACACGAATAAAAAAAATATATTAATTAAAAAAATGACAATAATTTAAAAAAAAGATACATTAATAAAAAAAACTAAGGTAAATTATATTTCTCCTTGATCTCTCTCATTCTTTGCTCATAGATTATTCGTCCAAACTCCGACAACGTCCCGGGGTCGGTTTGCATGACTTTCATCTCGGCCTCTTGCTCCTTTAGCTTCAACTCCTTCTCTTTTAGCTTCAACCTCTCTTGTTCCTGGAGATTGAACGCCCGAAGTTGTTCAATCATTGCCCGGCCGATTTCGTCGCGGGGAGAAGCGAAAACAGAGGCGGACCCTCCCGAACCAGAGGCAATAGATTTTGCCTTCTTTCTTCCGATCGGCCGTGGAATAGGGTCCTCGTCATCGGAAGCCGCAATGTTGAAGGAAGGGATTTGATCGGTAGAACCGATGGTCTCGTCGACCTCAACCTCGGCATCGACGGTGGATCTTTTCCGGAACAATCCGCCGTCGGGATTGTTGAGTTGTTGCCACTTCGGGGAACGACTCAAAATCCTCCAAAGATCCATGGGCACCTTGCCTTGGTTCCCGTCGTCTTGATACCGGGTCGTGGCAAGCCGGAGAACATCGGCGTCGTTCGTGCCGCTCCTCCGGGACCGGGAGCATTCCTCGTAAACTCCCATAAACTTTTGGACTTTTTTATTGATGTGGCTCCATTTGGAAGTGAGTTGGTCCCGGATTCGGTAGGAGTCGTCCTTCTTCATCGCCGTGAATAACTTCTTCTCGATACGATCCCACATCGCATCCTTCGTTTGCTCCGTACCTTTAAAAATGTATTACACAATTTTTTTTAGACACCATTAAATATAATATATATAAATAAAAACATAAATATATTAGAAAAAATAAATTTTTTACCAATGATAGGATGCTCGGAGACGTCAACCCAAGCCGACGACAATATGCACTCCTCCTCCGGCGACCACTTTTGGATTGACTGTGCCGCCTCGGTCAACGTGCTTTTGGCTTTGTGGCTTTTCCGACATGTACTTTTTTTCGATCCGGACGGTTTCGGTTGAGTCTCCGGAACCGAATCTCGGTCGACGTACCCCGATTGTTGCGTCTCGTAGATAGGCGGTCGATCGCCTCACTCGTGGTAGAACCACATCGCGGCGTCACTCGGCGGGAGATCGTCGGGAGAGAAGCCGGAGCCGGAAGGATTCATGTTGAATAGAGAGAGTGTAATTTCGAATTTTAAAATAGGAAGAAGAAGAGATTGAAGAGAAGGTGTGAGAGATTGGGTGGGGGGGTTTGAATTTATAAGAATTTTTTTTTTTTGAAATGGGGTGCAACGGCTTTATAGCCGTTAGGGGGGGAGGGGAAAGGAATGACGCAGCGTCATTCCTTTGACGCTGGCACGATCACACCGTATCACGCCCGGAGGGGGGCTGTGTTTCACGCCCCCGGGGCGTTAAACGCCCCATCACGCCGGGGGGCGTTGCATGTATTACTAGTGTTCTAAGGGAAAACTCTCTTAAGTTTCCTTTTTGCTTTTCGACCTGTTTCAATGTTAATATTTTGAAAAAACTATACCACAAAGTTTTTTGTGTTAGCATTTTCAAACCCTAATATTATTCGAAATATTGTTCCCAAACAATACTTTTTTCAAAACTAATCAACTTCAATAAAGAAGATAAACTTGAAAAAGGAAATCCAAAAAGGATATCAATAATCCTTCAAATTGGCCGGACTTTTGCCTTTCTATTTGTCTTCACCGTTAGAATGCAAGATATAGGGTCCATATGGGAATATCGTTAGAGATTAGCGTTAACATTTTCATAAGACTATCTACGGGCAGCGTTTAGCGTTAGCGTTTTCAAATTAATCAGCGCCGTTAAAATTTTATCCAAAACGCTAGCATTAATCTCTAACGTTATTATCAAACAGGCCCATAGTATAACAGAAGGAAAAATCAGAAGTTAACTTGCTTTTTTCTCTTTTTTCTTTTTACATTATAATTTTGGAAAGTTATTGATACCTCTCCAAATTGAAAGAAGGTATTTTCTCTTTGTATGTACCTTCGCTACTGGATTGCAAAGTATAAGAGAAGATAATAACAAATTTGGAAGGTATGAGGTATGCCTCCTAATTTGCCTTCTCCATAGGAGTTGCTCTTAGGAAGAGAGAAACGGAGGAGGAAGGGAATGACTAAATGGGAAGGGGTTTGTTTCAAATAAAATAGATGTAGACTTGGATATGGACCAGATCTAGTCTGGTTCAGATTATAGAACTTAAGTATTAGCTAACTACCATCAGTCGCCAGCAACACCGATTCCAGTTCTAGAAATTGGCCGGTCCAATTCCAAGCTTGGTTCTGGTCTTTGATAAAACGTCCTATTTTTAAGAATAAATTTCATAAATAGTCTCTTATAATAGGTAATTTTCTATATTTAGTTCTAAATCCTGAGATATTACATTAGTGTCGATATAATGTCCAAGCACATATCACGCCCATTAGACATGCCCATAACATTGTTGATAGTCGGCGCACAAAGACCAAGTGAGAGTACGGACAACCTCATGGACAAATGGCTAAGGCCCCGTTCCGTTCAACTTATTTTTTCTTATTCTTATTAAAATCAGATTAGATCAGATCAAATCGAATCAGATCAGATCCAATCAGATCAGATCAGATCCAATCAGATCAGATCAGATCCAATCAGATCAGATCAGATCTAATCAGATCAGATCAGATCCAATCAGATCAGATCCAATCAGATCAGATCAGATCTTATCAGATCAGATCCAATCAGATCAGATCAGATCAGATCAGGACTTATTAAAATAAGATCTCATCAAGAATTATTATTATTATTATTATTATTATTATTATTATTATTATTATTATTATTGTTCTTAAAAATGAAAAAGAATAAACTTTAGAAATAGGTTAAATAAAAAGCTGAGAAAGTAATCCTTAACTATTAGACGTCGGAAAAATTAGTTTTAAAATACATTGACAATGTCAATCTAATTCTACTTTTAAAATATATTTTTATTGCTACTTGTAATTTGAGTTTCTAAACTTTTGATCTTTTATAAAGATGAGATATTTTAATAAAAATACTATCTCTTCTATATATTGATTATCTAAATTTAATTACTTTTAAATGTATATTTAGATTAAATATTTATTCTAATGTATAATTCTAATTTTACAAAAAAATAATCATAAAATAAAAAATATTATTACATTATAATATGAATGATTATTCTAATATATGAATTAACTATTTTTATTTTATTAAAAAATAATCATTAAATAAAAAATATTGATTATATTATAATATGAATTATCATTACAATTTTCAAACGTTATTATAAAGTCAAATTAAATNAGTTTCTAAACTTTTGATCTTTTATAAGGATGAGATATTTTAATAAAAATACTATCTCTTCTATATATTGATTATCTAAATTTAATTACTTTTAAATGTATATCTAAATTAAATATTTATTCTAATGTATAATTCTAATTTTACAAAAAAATAATCATAAAATAAAAAATATTATTACATTATAATATGAATGATTATTCTAATATATGAATTAACTATTTTTATTTTATTAAAAAATAATCATTAAATAAAAAATATTGATTATATTATAATATGAATTATCATTACAATTTTCAAACGTTATTATAAAGTCAAATTAAATAATTGATTTGAAATTTTAAATTAAATCATAATTAATCAGATCAGACCAGATCAGATCAGATCAGATCCAATCAGATCAGATCAGATCCAATCAGATCAGATCAGATCCAATCAGATCAGATCAGATCCAATCAGATCAGATCAGATCAGATCCAATCAGATCAGATCAGATCAGATCCAATCAGATCAGATCAGACCAGATCAGATCAGAACTTATTAGAATCAGATCATATCAGAAAAAATAAGTTGAACGGAACGGAGCCTAAGTTTAGCCAGAGCGATATATCCCGACCAGAGTAGTACCTTGGTCAGAATGGTATGTCCGACCAGACGAGTATCATGCCCCGAGCCCGAGTGGTATATCCCGATCACCTTGGTCAAAGTGGTACGCCTGGCTAGAGTGGTATATCCCGATGAGTGGTATGTCCCAACCAGAGTGGCACCTTGGCCAGAGTGCCATGTCCCGAATAGAGTGGTATATCCCGAGCACAAGAAGCATACCGACCGGAGTGATGAACACACACCAAACCTGACTTAAGAGTTAGGGAGAGCGATTATTCGACCCATGGCCCAGTAAGGTTGCCAAACCCTAATTGCCCTAGTATAAGTAGAAGGAATGATGTATTGTTTAGGGGAAAATAGATATAAATATTCCCAGAAATTTGAAATTTTACAATAATACTCCCAAATTTAATAAAAGACTCTAGTGCTCCCAATTAAAATATAAGTTTACATTACTACTCCCACTATGCCTAATCAGCTTTTCTTATGCTTACATGTAAGTAATTATGCTTAGTTGACATCTTAGTTGTTTTTTTGTTTTAATAAGAGAAAAAATTATATAAATTCTCCTTGAAATTCAAAATTTTACAATAATACTCTCAAAACTAAATAAAAATTCCAGTACTCTAAAAAATATCTTCCTTAGCTTTAACGTGTTACGATGTTAAATAAAAGTGGTGTGAAATCAAAAAATAAAACTATATATCTAAAAACTACGCCATAAGATCTATAAAACTAGTAATAATATAATTATATTATTTTATCAAATATATAATTAAAATAGGTAAGCAAAGTAAATAAAATTTGATCTTGTTAATACTCTTAATAGTGAATGAGAAGATAATTTTTGGACGAAGGAGGTATTTTTTTATTAAAATATAAAAAAATAACTAAGATGCCAATTAAGCTCAATTAATTAATCTTTAATATTACTAAATTTTTTTTTACATATTACTATATTATTTTTTTATTATGTAATTTTTATTTTTTTAATTTCACACCATTTTTCATATATTAAAAATAATTTCAGTCAAATATAGTAACGTGCAACGAGAATATACTTTTGGGAGAACTGGAGTCTTTATTTGATTTTGGGAGTATTATTGTAAAATTTTGAATTTCTATGAGTATTTATATAATTTTTTCCTCTTATTAAAACAAAAAAAACAACTAAGATGTCAACTAAGCATAATTACTTACATGTAAGCATAAGAAAAGCTGATTAGGCATAGTGGGAGTAGTAATGTAAACATATAGTTTAATTGGGAGCACTAGAGTCTTTTATTAAATTTGGGAGCATTATTGTAAAATTTCAAATTTCTGGGAGTATTTATATCAATTTTTCCTTGTTTAGGGGGGCATTTTTCCCTTCTTGTAATCTAGAAAGATAAAGTTTGGTGAACTCTCTCTCTTTCTTTTTCTCTCTCTCTCTTTCATGGCTTCTAGCCTTTGTATCACCAAACAATATATGAATAAAGCACACTTTGGCTTGGCTTGGCCAAAAAGGACTCGTGATTTTCTCACGGATTCGAGTTCCTCATAAAAATCTTTAATCGTATAATCTTCATATTCATTCCCAAACCCACTTACAAATCGATGATATTTTGGAGCTCGAGACGGTGTAGGATCTCTAGAAACCCAAAGCAATTAACTCCAACAATTAATGGTCCTAAATTTTTTAGAACCATTCCATAATATATTTGGGGGAAAATATGACCAATTTTTTTCTACATATATCTCTCAAAAGACTGATTGAATATCGGAATGTAATATTTTAGAATTGAAGACTAAATATAGTGACACTATTCTTGAACTTTTTTATGGCGGTGCAAGCCTAGTTTAATATATTATTTAAAAAATGGTCCATTGTTCATGTATACAATTGTTGGAGCTTTGAAGATACACATTTAGGCTCTGATTCTTTTGAGTTGAATGTTTGAAGAAATTGGAAGAAGTTGGTTAAAATTTGAAGGAGTTAGAAAATGTTGGAAGAATAAAAGTGTTGAAAAGTCAATTAAATGATCACCAAAATAAATATGTAAGAAAATTCTAAATTTGATAAAAAAGAATTCTTTCTTTGTCCTCTACTATATACGGAGTACCTATTAGTACACTATACACACACACACACTCTTATTCGCCGTTTTTTGCTTGTGTGGTTTAATTACTCAAAGTGGACTGCATGTGTCATCAGAATCTAGCTACCACCCTACAGAGAAATTCCGAAACTGGTCAAACGTGACATTTTCCCCTAAAACTGATAACCAATTCAGACATTTGTTGGTAATGTTAGTCTTTTTATCCTTTCCAAAGAATCACCATGAAGAAATGAAATGCACCTCAAGCCTAACATGAATCAAGAAGAGATTATTCATGTTGACTCATCAGCAGGCCCTGTCAAAAAAGGCAAGTTTTCCTAATATAGCAACCGTGGAGAATGAGATTTCATGTCAACCAAAAGTTCATTACCAAGTGCTATACGTAAAAGAAACAGTTTCATCTGGGAAATAAAACATCTGGGAACAATAATGTCTTCCAAGTGACTATTACAGCATTGGTTATTCCAATTCCCAAGCTTTCCTGTTATAGTTTTACGAGCTTCCCCTTGTTGCCAGGACAGTGGATATCTACAAAATGGAAGCACATGCAAGCAATGATACGGTATGCTTAATTTATACAAAACCATACCTCATGTTTGTGGATGCTAAGGTGGAAAGAGAGCAACCAAATTACTTAAGTAAGATGTTAGAAATATACAAGCAAGGACAAGTGAATCAAATATCCAGCTACGAGTGAAATATGATATCAGAATCCCAAGAACAAAACAACCAAAAGATTATAACTACATCAAATTGATGTCAGGCCTTTGTGATCCTCAAGTGTTTTGTCTGCAAAGGGAATAGAAAAGGAGACATTTTGCTTACCATACAAACATCACTCAGCAGCCGCTGCTCTTAAGGTCCGCAGCTCAAGTTCGTACAACAAAAAAAGAAGAAAGTGTCAATTCATAAAGAGAATATGCAAACACACAGAGTCCAAGAGCCACAAAAAGACTCACTAGATTTTTCAATTCTTCTCTGGCAGCCCTCAACTCTTCATCTAGATGCCTCAAATTCACAAGATTATTGCTGTAAAAAAACTTAACTAAGAAAACTAATATGCATTAAAAGCAACACAAATAAACAAGACAAATGGAAGGTATCACTCACGGTCTGCTGTTCAATGAAAAGTGCGTTAGACCTGTTCGCCTGTAACGAAAACCACAATCAGAAGCTCTCTGAAGAAATTGCACATAGGAATTCACATATCTATCAAAGTCTTGGTTCAGCCTTCCAAATGCATCCACTCTACATTTGAAAACAACAGTCATGTATGCTTGAACCTTTTCGACCAATGTATCAAATGTCCAAGGCGCATCCTCAGTTGGCCATTCGGTCAATAATGCAATCAACAACATAAGAGAGCCTATAAACTGGAGCATCGACTCTCCACTAAACAATTGTTCACGACTTTTCATAAGTTCTCCCTCTTTCTCCGTGATGACATTTTTTTTAATGATGATTTCATCCCTCAACTCATTCTCTCTTGAAACTTTATCAAGACTGTGCCCTCCAAGATTCTCATGTCTATGCTCATCATTCATGCGCCCATCAAGCTCCCAAACCCTTTGGAGAGCCTGATCACTCGATTTTTCACCACGAGCAGCCCTATATTCATTTCTAGCCTTTTCTTGTTGCTCGGCCTGAGCCCTAAGTGCTTCTGCTTCTTGGTTCTGTGGAGTTTGCAGATCTCTTCCATGTTTTGGTCTGGAAATGGAAAGCACAATAAAAGAGAAAAGTTAGAAAGTCTTTGTGGACAAGGGTTACAAAGACTTTTATGCTATGTAATATACCTGACCATAAGCTCCTTCTCCATCCGGAGAGCCTGATCGCTCAATTTTTTACCACGAGCAGCCCTTTTTTCAAATTTAGCCTTTTCTTGTTGCTTAGCCTGACGCTTTTCTAGCTGAGCCCTAAGTGTTTCTGCTTCTGCTTCTGCTTCTTGGTTCTGTGGAGGAGCACTATATTCATTTCTAGCATTTTCTTGTAGCTCAGCCTGACGCTTTTCTAGCTGAGCCCCAAGTGCTTCGACTTCTGCTTCTTGGTTCTCTAGAGCTTGCATTCTGGACATGGAAAGCACAATAAAAGAGAAAAGTTAGAAAGTCTTTGTGGACAAGGGTTACAAAGACTTTTATGCTATGTAATATACTTGACCATAATGCCATACCTCAATTCATTGATTTCATACTCTCTCAAATTTCTGCCAGGACTGTACCCTCCAACATCCCCATGTGTCCCCTCATCATTTAAATGCCCACTAAGCTCCTTTTCCATCCGGAGAGCCTGATTGCTTGATTTTTCACCACGAGCAGCCCTTTTTTCATATTTAGCTTTTTCTTGTTGCTCAGCCTGACGCTTCTTTGCTAGCTGAGCCTCAAGTGCTTCTGCTTCCGCTTCTTCTTCTTGGTTCTGTGGAGAAGCCCTAAATTCATTTGTAGCATTTTCTTGCTCCTCAGCCTGTTTTCCATCATCTCCGATGGAGCCAAAATTTCACCATTTTTTGGCTTTGGATGTGATGGAATAAATCAAAATGGATCTCTAAACTGTCTGCGCTTCTTTAATTAATGAAGTAGCAGTTAGTCAAGCAATGCAACTTTCAATGTTGAGCCGGGGGTCTCTTTGGAAACAGCCTCTCTACTTTCGAGTAGGGGCAAGGTCTGCGTACACACACCCTCCCCAGACCCTACTCTTGTGGGATTTAACTGGGTTGTTGTTGTTGTTGTTCTTGCTCCTCAGCCTGACCCTTTGCTAGCTCAGCCCTAAGTGCTTCAGTTTCATGGTTCTGTGCAGTAGCACTAAATTCATTTGTAGCCTTTTCTTGTAGCTCAGCCTGATGCGTTGCTAGCTGAGCCCTAAGTGCTACTACTTCTACTTCTGCTTCTTGGTTCTGTGGAGGAGCCCTAAATTCATTTCCAGCCTTTTCTTGTAGCTCAGCCTGTCGCTTTTCTAGCTGAGCCCTAAGTGTTTCTGCTTCTGCTTCTGCTTCTTGGTTCTGTGGAGGAGCACTAAATTCATTTCTAGCCTTTTCTTGTAGCTCAGCCTGACGCTTTTCTAGCTGAGCCCTAAGTGCTTCGGCTTCTGCTTCTTGGTTCTCTAGAGCTTGCATTCTGGACATGGAAAGCACAATAAAAGAGAAAAGTTAGGAAGTCTTTGTGGACAAGGGTTACAAAGACTTTTATGCTATGTAATATACTTGACCATAATGCCATACCTCAATTCATTGATTTCATACTCTCTCAAATTTCTGCGAGGACTGTACCCTCCAACATCCCCATGTGTCCCCTCATCATTTAAATGCCCACTAAGCTCCTTCTCCATCCGGAGAGCCTGATTGCTTGATT